AAAAAGCTAAAGACTCTAAAAAAAAAACTCTGATAAACAAATTCAGTAAAGCTGCAGTATAAAAAACCAACATACAAAAATTTGCAGCATTTCAATACGCCAATAATGAACTAGCTGAGAAACAAATTAGGCCAGAAATCCTGTTTACAATAGCTCCAAAACAAAAAAACATCCTAAGAATAAATTTAACCAAGGAGATGAAAGATCTCTAAGGAAAACTAGAAAACACTGATGAATGAAATTGAAGAGGACACAAATGAAGACATCCCATGTTCATGGACTGAAAAAATTAATATTGTTAAAATGAACATACTGCCAAAGCAATCTGCAAATTGAATGCAATCCCTATGAAAATACTCCTGTCATTTTCACAAAAATAGAAAAAAATACTAAAATATGTATAAAACCAAACAAAAAGAGCCCAAATAGCCAAAGCACTCCTGAGCAAAAAGAACAAAGCAAGAGGCATCACACTATCTGACCTCAAAATATATTACAAGGCTATAAAAACCAAAACAGCAAGGTATTGGTATCAAAACAGACACAAATACTAATGGGATAGAAGAGAAAACCCAGAAATACATCCATGTATGTACAGCAAATTCATTTTCTCTTTTTTTTTTTTTTTTTTTCTCTGAGACAGAGTTTTTTGCTCTTGTTGCCCAGGCTGGAGTGCAGTGGCGTGATCTTGGCTCACTGCAACCTCCGCCTCCTGGGTTCAAGCAATTATCCTGCCTCAGCCTCCTGAGTAGTTGGGATTATAGGCGCGCAACACCACACCCAGCTAATTTTTTGTATTTTTAATAGAGACAGGGTTTCATCATGTTGGCCAGGCTGGTCTTGAACTCCTGACCTCAGGTGATCTGCCCACCTCGGCCTCCCAAAGTGCAGGGATTACAGGCATGAGCCACCGCGCCTGGACAGCAAACTCATTTTCAACAAAGGTATCAAGAAAATACATTCAGGAAAGAAAACCCTCTTGAATAAATGGCGCTGGGAAAACTCAATACCCATATGCAGAAGAATGAATTGAACCCCTATTTCTCACCATATACAAAATTCAATCCAAGATAGGTTAAAGACTTAAACATAACACCTACAACTATAAAACTACTAGAAAGAAATATAGGGGGAACACTTCAGGATATAGCCAAAGATTTCATGGCTAAGATCTCAAAAGTACAGAAAACAAAACAAAAATAAATAAATAAAACTGTTTTAAACTAAAAAGCTTCTGCCCACATAGGAAGCAATCAACAGAGTGGGGAGACAACCTGTTGAATGGAAGAAAATATTTGCAAACTATTCATCCAACAAGGAACTAATATCCAGAATACACAAGGAACTCAAAACACTCGATAGTAAAAACTAATAATAATCCCACTTAAAGGTGGACAAATGACATGAAGAGACATTTTTCCAAAGACATCCATACAAACGGCAGATAGGTATATGAAAAACTGCTTACCATCACTAATCATCAGCAAAATGGAAATCAAAACCACAATGAGACATCATCTTACCCAAGTTAGAATGACTATTACTAATAAGACAAAAGATAACAGATGCTGATAAGGACACAGAAAAAAGGGAACACTTATACACTGTTGGTGGGAATGTATATTAGTGCAGCCATTACAGAAAACAGTAGGGAGATTTCTCAGAGCACTAAAAACACAACTACCATATGATCCAGCAACCGTAATACTGCGTATTTATCCAAAGGAAAAGAAATCAGTATATCAGGAGGATACCTGCACTCCATGTTTATTCCAGTACCATTTACAATAGCAAAGACAGGGAATCAACCTAAGTGCCCACCAACAGATGAATAAATAAAGAAAATGTATATATACGCAATGGAATACTATTCAGCCATAAAAAAAATAAAATAAAATCATGGCATTTGGAGCAATGTTGATGGAATAAGCCAGGTACAGAAAAAACAAACATCAGATATTCTCACTCATATGTGGGAACTTAAAAAATTGATCTCATGAAGGAACAAGGTAGAATGATAGATAAAAGAGGCGAGGAAGGGTCAGTGAATGGGGGATAAAAAGAAGTTGGCAAATAGGTAAAAACATAAGGTTAGATAGAAGGAATAAGTTATAATGGTCTATAGCAGAGTAGGGTGACTGTAGTTAACAACCATGTATTGTATATTTCAAAATAGCTAGAAGAGAGGACCTGTAATGTCCCAATACAGAAATGACAGAGCAAGACTTTGTCTCAAAAAAAAGAGGCTTATATCTATAAGAAACTCAAAAATAGGAAAATGATTTGAAAAGACCCTTCAACAAAGAATACATCTAGGTAGCAAATAAGTAGATGAAAAGATGTTCAACATCATTAGTCAGAGAAATTTAAAAACTTGAAATATACTATTACACATTTAGGAGAAGAGCTAAAATTTTAAAACATGCTGGTAACACCACTGATGAAAATGTAAAATTACACAACTTTGGCAAGCAGAAAATTTCTTTCTTTTTTTTTTTTTTTTCTGAGACAGAGTCTCACTCTGTCACCCTGGCTGGAGTGCAGTGGCACAATCTTGGCTCACTGCAACCTCTACCTCCCAGGTTCAAGCAATTCTCCTTCCTCAGCCTCCTGAGTAGCTGGGATTACAGGTGCATGCCACAATGCCCAATTAAGCTTTTTGTATTTTTAGTGGAGACAGGCTTTCACCATGCTGCCAAGTGTGGTCTCGAACTCACAGGCTCAAGCAATCCAACCACCTCGGCCTCCCAAAATGCTGGGATTACAGGCGTGAACCACTGTGCCCAGCCAGAAAATTTCTTTAAAAGGCTATATTAGTTCATTTTCATGCTGTTGATAAAGACATACCTGAGACTGAGCAATTTACAAAAGCAAGACCTTTAATGGACTTACAGTTCCACATGGCTGCAGGAGCCTCACAATCATGGCAGAAGGCAAGGAGGAGCAAGTCACGTCCTATAGGGATGATGGCAGGCAAAAAGAGAGCTTGTGCAGGGAAACTTCCATTTTTAAAACCATCAGATCTCATGAGACTTATTCATTATCACAAGAACAGCATGGGAAAGACCGGCCCCCATGATTCAATTACCTCCCATCAGGCTCCTCCCAGGACACGTGGGAATTGTGGGAGTTAAAATTCAAGATTAGATTTGGGTGGGGACACCACCAAACCATATCAAAGGCAAACCAGGATGGATGCAGTGGCTCAAACCTGTAATCCCAGCACTTTGGGAGGCTGACGCAAGTGGATCACTTGAGGTCAGTAGTTCAAGACCAGCCTGGTCAACATGGTGAAATCCCATCTCCACCAAAAAATATAAAAATTAGCCAGGTGTGATGGTTTGTGCCTGTAGTCCCAGCTACTCAGGAGACTGAAGCGGGAGAATCTCTTGAACCCAGGAGGCAAAGGTTGAGTTGAGCTGAGATCACCCCACTACACTCCAGGCTAAGCAAGAGGGTGAGACCCTGTCTCAATAAATAAATAAATGGCAAACCAGACACTCCAATCTTAGGTATTTACCCAACAGAAATGAAACATGTCCACACATACATTTGTACATAAATATTTGTAGCAGTATTATTCATACAGGCAAATACTGGCAATGATCTAAATGTCCGTTATTGGTAAATAGATAAACAACATATACCTACACAATGAATGCTAAAACAAATGGACAATTCTAGGAGGCATACTACATGCTTCCTAGGGGTCCTAGCAGATTCAAGCCTCCTGCCTCTAGCAGGGACTATATATCTTGATAATTCACCTCTAATTGCCCAACTCATTCTTCATGCTCTTTCCTACTGCTCCTGGGACCATTTCTCAAATATACTACCTGCATCTAGGTCTGTCTCAGGATCTACTTTTGTGAAAAACGAAACTGAAACCACACATTCATTATTGTGGGAATGATTAAGCAAATTTTACTAAATCAAGATGACAAAATATTATGCACTGGTTTTTTAAATGTTCATAAACAATGACACAAAAATATGTTTGAGATAATGTGAGCTTTTCAAGGGTCCAAAATGCACACAAGATATATTATCAGACATGTGAAATGAAAAGGAAAAAAAGATCTCCTACAATAAGTTCCATATAAAAGTAAAAAACTTCTACATCTTGCACAAGCTGGTATAGAGTCTTATCAAAAATATTTTCTGAATAAATGAATGTTATTGCAGATAAACTAACCAATGAACAAGCCAAACATATAATATGCCAAACATAAGCCAAAATCTTTTTCTGTATGATCAAGTCAAATCCGTTATAATACATTAAAAGCAAGTAGAGTTTATCCTAGAAATGCAAAGGGCTCAACATTAAAAACTTCATCAGACTAATTCACCATATTTTTAAAAAACTGATCTTCAATACTAAATAGACATTTAATTAAATTCAATACCCATTAGTAAACTTTTTTAATCTTAGCAAACTAAGATTTTTTTTTTAAAGACTTTGTTAACTTGATAAAGCATATGTACTAGAAAGTTACCTTTATTAGGCATCAGACTCTGTTTTATATGCTAGGGCATTGAAGAAGAGAGGCAACAGTGCCTGAAGTCACATAGTTTACTGTCTACTGGGTGACACAGGTAAATAAACAGATAATAATAATACAGCATAGTAAGATGCTATGACAAGATACTTATAAGCTGCCATAGTAACATAGGAAAACATCACCTTACTTTGCTGGAGATAATTAGATCAATAGATGATAAGTACCTATCGCACAAGGACAGAGTTATTTATCTTTGTATCACCTGGTATCTAAGACTATGTCTATCATATGGTAAGTCTTTGGTAAATATTCCTTAAATTAATTGACAAATGAACAAAATGAACAAACAATAAATAATGGCCTTAGAATTTTTTTAATGTCAGGTACAAAATATCAACAAATTAAATGACTTGTTATAAATCTGATGTCTCCTAAAGAGTTCATTTGGGTACAAACAGAACCATACATACAGACAAATTAGCAATTTTAAATACTCACGGATACAAGGGATTTGTATTGGCCAGTTGGAGAGTATATGTTTTCACAGGTTCTACAGCTATTAGCACATCTTGTTCTATAGCCATAGGAAGAACAGAATATCCACAGTAATCTATATGCTCTCCTAGAAAAAAGAGAAAGCTTTTTTAATCATTGCTAATATATAAAACAAAAGCACCTCAAGAAAGTTTACATACAGGAAAAAACTGATCATGAGCCAGGTTTTAACAGTAAATAAAAATAAAGGAAAGCAGAGCAAGATGGCCAAATAGAACCCTTCCATGATCTTACACCAAATTGAACAACTATCTATGCAATAAACACCTTCATAAGAACCCAGAAAATTCAGGTGAGTACCTGAAAATCACAGTACCTGGTTTTCACATAACATCAGGGATAGAGGAATTGAAGAGCACAGGAAAGACAGTCTTGCATTGCCTACAGGATCCCTCCCAGTATGGAGAGAGAAAAACTGTTTGGGGGAGGGAGGGTGAAGTGAGTGTGGGTCTTTGCACTGGAACTCAGTGCTGCCATGTTACAGCAAAACACAAAACAGAGAAGAATTCTGCTAGCACCCAAGGAGGGAGTATTTAGATCAGCCCTGGGCAAGACAGAATTCTCAGTCTCAGCAGGAAGAACCTGAGTCCCAACTGACCTCACCTCTGGCTAACTAAAGTGGCCTCGTGCCCAGAATAAGCTTAATTGGCTGTCAGGCCACAAGTACTGCAGTCCTCAGGCAAGCTGTGGTGCTGCGCTGGACTTGGAGGCAGTAGACTTGGGATGTGTGACCAAGTGTGACACCAGCTGTGGCAGCCAGGGGAGTGGCTGGATCACATTGCACCCAACTCCAGGAAGTACAGCTTGGGGAGAGACTCCTTTAGCTTAAGGAAAGAAGTGGGAAGAGTATAGAAGACTGTCTTGCAATTTGGGTACCAGCTCAGCCAAAGTAAAGCACCAAGGAGATTCCTGAAGCTGTCAATTCCAGGACTTAGTTCCTGAAGGGGATTTCTAGACCCACCCTCATTCAAAGGGAATCCACTGCCCTGAAGAGAAGGACCCAGTCTTGGCAGGATTCACCTGATCACTAAAGAGCCCTTGGGCCTTGAATAAACATCAGCAGTAACCAGGCAAGATCCAGTATTGTACAGGCTTCAGGTATGACCCAGCACAGTGCCAGCTGTGGAAGCCACAGAAGTGCTCTAGGCAGCCCAGTAGAGAGACTACTTCTGATTGGAAGGAGTAAAGGGAAGACATCAAGAGGACTTTGCCTGACAACCCAAGGAATTCTCCTTTACCTTACCCAAACTCATCAAGGCAGCGCCTCTAGAGGTCAGCAAGAACTGCATTATTCCTGGGCTTAGAGCACCTCCTTTAGCCCGTAAGGACCACATTCTTAGAGCACAACACTCAACCCCATTTGAATACATGAAAAGTCTTCTCAAGAATGAAGGGTACAAACAAACCCAGACTACACAGACAAATAAATACCTAATTTGTCAATGCCCATAAGTGATGAATGTCCACAAGCATCAAGAGTATCCAGGAAAACATGACCTCATTAAATGAACTACAGAAGACACCAGTGACCAATCCCGGAAAGACAAAGATATATGTCCTTTCAGACAGAGAATTCAAAAGAGCTGTCTTGAGGAAGCTCAACAAACTTAAAAGATAACACAGGGAAGAAATTCATTATTCTACCAGAGAAATTTAACAAAGAGATTAAAATCATTTTTGAAATTTCAAACAGAAGTTCTGCAGTTGAAAAATTCAACTGACAAACTCAAAAATGTCTCAAGTCTCTCAACAGTAGAATCGATCAAGAAAAAGAAATAATTAGTGAACCTGAAGACAGGCTATATAAAAATACACAGTCAGAGGAGAGAAAAGAAAAACAATTTAAAAAGAATGAAGCTTTTCTACAAGATCTAGAAAATAGCCTCAAAGGGGCAAATCTAAGAGTTAATGGCTTTAAAGAGGATGTAGAGATAGAGAGGTAGGGTAGGAAGTTTATTCAGTGAAATACTGATAGAAAACTTTCAAAACCTAGGAAAAGATATGAATATTAAGGTATTAGAAGATCACACAACACCAAAAGGATTCAACCCAAATAAGACTAACTGAATTAATATATTAATCAAACTGTCAAAGGTCAAGGATAAAGAAAGTATCCTAAAAGCAGAAAAAGAAAAGAAGCAAAGAACATATAAAGAACATACAAAGCAAAGAACATATATAAAGAACATATAAAGAACAATATGTCTGACAGGAGACAACTCAGCAGGGAACTTAGAGGCCAAGAGAGAGGCAGATGACATAGTCAAAGTGTTTAAGAAAAACAACTTTTGAACTAGAATATTATTTTCAATAAAACTATCCTTCAAACATGAAAGAGAAATACTCTCCCAGACAAACACAGCTGAGGGGTTTCATCAACACCAAACCTGTCTTGCAAAAAATGCTACAGAGAGTTCTTCAATCTGAAAGAAAAGCACATTAATGTAAAAAATATATATCACATGGTGGTATAGAACTCAGTGGTAGTGGTAAATGAACAGATGAATACAGAAAAACACTGTAACTATAGTGTTAAAACACTCATATATTAGTAGGAAGATTAAGACAAACCTATCAAAAATAGTAACTGAAACAGCTTTCTGAGCATAAAAAGATATAAATAGAGACAATCAAAAGTGACAAAGCAGCCGGGCACGGTGGCTCAAGCCTGTAATCCCAGCACTTTGGGAGGCCAAGTCAGGCAGATCACGAGGTCAGGAGATCGAGACTATCCTGGCTAACATGGTGAAACTCCATCTCTACTAAAAGTACAAAAAAAAAAAAAGTCGGGCGTGGTGGTGGGTGCCTGTCGTCCTAGCTACTTGGAAGGCTGAGGCAGGAGAATCACTTGAACCTGGGAGGCGGGGATTGCAGTGAGCCGAGATCACGCCACTGTACTCCAGCCTGGGTGACAGAGTGAGACTCCGTCTCAAAAAAAAAAACCCAACTTTTTTTTGTATCCGATATAGGTTTTTGTTTTGTGATTACTGTGAGGCTTGCAAATAACATCTTATAACCAATTATTTCAAGCAGATGACAGCTTAACTGACTACAATGAAAATAAAAAAATAAATAAGCAAAAAGAAAACAAACAAAAAACTCAAAACTATACCTTCACCCCATTTCTTCACTTTGTCACTTCTTTTTTTTTTTGGTTGGCTCACAAGGCCAGGTGTTCGAGACCAGCCTGGCCAACGTGTTGAAACCTCATCTGTACTAAAAATACAAAAATTAGCTGGGCGTGGTGGTGGGCACTTGTAATCCCAGCTACTCAGGAGGCTGAGGCAGGACAATCACTTGAACCCAGGAGGCAGAAGTTGCAGTGAGTTGAGACAGCTCCACTGCACTCCGGCCTAGGCAAGAGAGTGAGACTCTGTCTCAAACAAAAAAGAAAAAGAAAAAAATAAAGAAGATTCAAATAGAGAATTTTTTTAAAGATATTATAACTGATAGCAGAGACTGAAGGCATCATTAGAGACTATCATGAGCAACTATATACCAACAAATTAGAAAACCAAGAAGAAAGGGATCAATGCCTAGACCCATATGATATGGCTTGGATCTGTGTCCCCACCCAAATCTCATGTTGAAATGTAATACCAAATGCTGGAAGTGAAGCCTGGTGGGTATCGATTGAATCATGGAGGTGGTTTCTAATGGCTTAACCCAGTCTCCTGAGTGTGGCTCTCATGATAGAGTTCTCACAAGATCTGATTGTTTAAAAGAGTATAGCACTTTCCCTCCCTCTCATCCTCCTGCTCCAGCCATGTAAGGTGTGCCTCCTTCCCCTTTGCCTTCCACTATGCTTGTAAGTTTCCTGAGGCTTTCCCAGCCATGCTTCCTGTACAGCCTGCAAAGTTGTGAGCCAATTAAACCTCTTTTCTTTATGAACTATCCAGTCTCAGAAACTTCTTTATAGCAGTGCAAGAGCAGACCAATACAGAAAATTGGTATCAGAAGTAGGGCATTGCTATAAAGATAACTGAAAATGTGAAAGCACCTTTGGAACTAGGTAAAGTGGCAGAGGTTGGAACAGTTCAGAGGGCTCAGAAAAAAAACACAGGAAGATGAGGAAAAGTTTGGAACTTCCAAGAAACTGGTTGAATGGTTGTGTCCAAAATGCTGATAATAATATGAACAATGAAGTCCCAGCTAAAGAGGTCTCAGATGAAAATACAAAACTTATTGAGAACTAGAGTAAAGGTCACTTTTGTTATGCTTTAGCAAAGAGTCTGGAGGCACTGTGCCCCTGCTCTAGGGACCTATGGAACTTTGAACTTGAGAGTGATGATTTAGGTTATCTGGTGAAAAAAATTTCTAAGCAGCAAAGCATTCAAGATGTAGTATAGCTGCTTCTAACAACCTATGCTCTTATTCTTGAGCAAAGAAATCACCTGAAACTGGAATTTCTATTTAAAAGGGAAGCAGAGTGAACAAGTTTGAAATACTTGAAGCCCAGCCATGTGGTAGAAATGAAAAGGCCTTTTTTTTTTTTTTTTTTTTTTTAACTGTAGCTAACTTTGGGAAACCCCGTTTCTAGTAAGAATACAAAAATTGGCCAGGCATGGTGGCATGTGCCTGTAATCCCAGCTACTCAGGAGGCTGAGGCACAAGAATCACTTGAGTCCAAGAGGTGCAGGTTGCAGTGAGCCAAGATTGTGCCACTACACTCCAGCCTGGGCAACAGGGCAAGACTCCATCTCAAAAGTTAAAAAAAAATAAAATAGGCCAGGCGCGGTGGTTCACACCTGTAATCCTAACTCTCTGGGAGGCCGAGGCGGGTGAATCACCTGAGATCAGGAGTTCACAACCAGTCTGGCCAACATGACGAAACCCCATCTTTAGTAAAAATACAAAAAATTAGCCAAGCATGGTGGCGGGTGCCTGTAATCCCAGCTACTTGGGAGGCTGAGGCAGCAGAATCACTTGAATCTGGGAGGCAGATATTGCAGTGAGCTGAGATCGCACCATTGCACTCCAGCTTGGGCAATAAGAGCGAAACTCTGTCTCAAAAAATAATAATAAAAATAAAATAAAATAAACGCTCAGCCACTAAAAAAAAAGTAG